CCCCAAAACCCCAAAACCCCAAAACCCCAAAACCCCAAAACCCCAATCATTTTTTATAAATAGAATTCCTAATATTACTTTTATATTATTAGCAATAATAGGGTAAAATGGTTGCCAAATCACATTCAAAGAAATTGTTTCGTAGAAAGAAGACTATTGCCCAAAGACTATTCAATGCTGTAAAAGCAGTCGATATGTACGGAAAAGACATTGTTCTCACCTATGATGGTGATGATAAGTATCGAACCCACATTGGAGGAGTTGCTTCCATTATAGTTTTTGGAATAGTTTTCTCTTACATAATCTACCTGATACAGCTAATGTTTAGTAAGGGAGATACCACTTTTATCAAAACATCACTTCTAAATGATTTGTATGAGAATGTTGAAATCCACACCCCAGCAAAGAATGGTGGGAAAGGAACGGGATATTCGGCCTTTGACTTTGCTTTTAAGTTCACAGCAGATGGAAAAGATTATTTGACAGACTCTACAGCATTTTCACTCTCTATGAACTTTGTTGAACAAAAATGGGTGACTGAGAATGGCGTTGCTAAAATTGAGAGAAATTACACAAATATAGAATACGAAATTTGAGGTCTTGAACACTTCAACTACGACGATGTCCAAGAAATACAACGGATCGGAGTTGACACTTACTATTGACCAAAGGGTGACTACTCTGTTGCAGGAAGTTTCTACTCCCCTCAGTACAACTATGTCGAAATGAAACTCAGAAAATGTGTTGGTGCTACATGCATGAGTTCAACAGATATTGAAAATTTAGTCAAGGATTCAAGGTTCTCCATGGCAATCGTAAATACTGTAGTGGATTTGAAGAATTATCAAAAACCTATCCAATACATGATCGATGATGGCTTGTTCTGGGAGCTAACTCCAGGAATCAGGAAGAAAACTGATGTCTTCATCAGAAAAAACGAAGCCTCTTTTGAGGACAACTATGTTCAGCTGGGTTTCCCTCAAGAGAAGGAGTTTTATCAAGTTGCTGAATCTACAGATCGATTTGAATCTGAATCAAGTCAAGGTGATATTCTGTCAATTTATTTCAGGTTTGACAAGACATCGGATATTTACGAAAGAAAAATCTATTCTCTCGGAGAACTCATCGGACAAGCAGGAGGATTCTATACCTTACTCTCTCTTGTAGGATCTATTCTGCTTTTCATTTTCTCTGAGAGACTTTTTGTCAGCTCAATTTTAGCAAAAATATACCAGATTGACAAGTGGCAAGAACAAGAACGATTAGATAAAAACCTTGCTTTAAAAAATCAAAGAGAGATATCTAAGAAAAATTTGGAATATAAAGAGGATGGAAGAAGGATTAAACAACCCTTTACCAAAAGTGAGAAGTTCCATTCTCAGACGACCGACTGCCTCAAACATATTGACTCTAATGATGTCCTAGATATCAGTTTATTACCTAAAATGGAGAAAAGCATGAGGGAGCGCCGGGTCTTCAAATATGGTTATATTGACATTCTTCACTATCTCTTCTGATGAGTTGTTTGACGCCGTAAACGATCAATGCGATTGAAACCCAGGTTCAGAGACCATCTATATTACGAAATCGGGGAAGAAAAACTCCTAGATGAGCTCGACTGAGTTACAATAATAAAGGCTGTCAGGCAGTTAAAAATCCTGACACATGTCCTGTTTGATAAATAAACAGAAATTCCTGATGAAGTTCCAAAGGAATAATGTAATTGATAGTTCCTCATCAGGAACTTCTGACGAAGGCCAGATGAATATTGTTGATCTCATGGCAAGCAAGAATGAGAAACATGTTAAAATAGTTAACAAGAAAATTCAAAAGGCAATTTACAGTATCCAAGGCCGACATCTAAAAGAGCTCGATAAAAGAATAATTGCAGGTGAGAAATTCTTAACGACTCATTAGGCATCTTCAAGAAGAGACAATCAGATTCAGAGAACGAAAATGAGCCAGTCCAGAACAACGAAGAAGAGCTTCGTGACCTCTCTCCAACTTATTCAAACAAAGAAGGTAACTTTAGAGAAAATAATATCTAGAACATAAGCAGTACTATCCGAAATTTAAAAGAAGCGTTCGTGTTTCACCTTTATTTTCAAAAATTGAAATTGGTGATTCTATGAATAAAATATCTGAAATCAATCAAGATCCTTACTGCCTTGACAAACCTAACCATTATTATGACAATGGTAAGTTAAATTAGATTGACTGAATTTATTTTAGAAAGCTGAATTTCATCTATCGATATCCTACGAAACAATAAATCTGAAGTTAATGACTCAAGTGTAAATACAAAGTAGATTCAATAACCACCACAAAAATTGGGGTTTTGGGGTTTTGGGGTTTTGGGG